ATGCATACAACCCATGCATATTCAATGCACATGGACATATACACACATAAGTATATATGCATACATAGATAAACACGTGTACACAAGGCATGCATTTTATGTGCATATAGGCACACATGCAATGTGTTCTATGTTGCACAAGACACATGCATTGCATGCATGTACATCCACGATCATATACATTTGTGTAAGAGACATGTGTTTGTGGTCATGTGTATACATGTACACATACATACACATGCATGTTGTTTTCCACTATGGTTTGCTCTTCTTTCCTCCATTAGGCAGCAAGATTTGGATCTGCGAGGAGTCTAAAACTCCTCTCAGCGCATATCCAAAGGGCAGGGAGAAAAGAAGCTGGGCTGCCTGGGGTTAATGCCTCTCACTTCAGTATGTGATAGATGGCAGGAGACAGAGAGCCCGGCCAGCCTAATGAGATCTGATCAGGGTATTCTGCCTAGCAATAATAGCAAATGTAAAAGAGTGAAACTTCACACTCTTCCCTTCTGTTTGCTGTCTGATTTGTATAATAATCCTGCACCCAAAACAAATGCCCCTGTCAAAATTCAATTCCCCAGAGGAGCTGGCCAAGGCCATGCCAACCCTCTTGTTTTTAATAATAATATTTTCCATTTAATCTCTTTTAGAATTTTTGGCGGTTTTGTCCCTTCCAAACTCAAAGGAAAAATTAGCATTTAGATAGGATTGCGCTACATTAAAAATCAATTGAAATGGAAACAGGAATCATGGGAGGGATGAGGCTTTGGGAGTTTTTTCTTTCTTTTCCTTCTTTTTTTTGCCATAGGATGATTCTGCTGTGACATTCAGGCTGGCCAATGAACACCTCTTCCAGTGTCAACAGTAATCAGTATTCATTCTGCCTTTCTCTCCTCAGTCCCCTGGGTTCAGGGCTTTCACACTTGAGCCCTCTCAGCCCCTCGAGGCTCACATTTTTTATGATATTGTCCTCTTGAAGCTTTCTCCTCTCTTCACCAGTAACATTAATAAATTCAGAATGCTAACACCCTTCTGGATTGTGTTCAAGACATGCAAGATGTAATGAACCTTGCCCGCTGAATGTGAGATGCCCTCCGTGGCTTCTCTGCCTCATCCCCTGCCCCCAGCCCCTACTCTTCACCCCTCAACCACATCCTTAACAGATGGAGCCATGCTTTACAAGGAAATCAATCCTTCGCCTCCCCCTTCCCCCCAGTTTCTGTCTCCCCACCGGAGCTTCCTATATCCCCATCTCTCAGGAGACTGTAAGCTCTTCAGGGGCAGGGGTTGTTTCAGTTTTTTTCATCCTAGTATCCCTAGCGCCTAGCACAGTGCTTGGCAAATACAGGCTCTACACATGCTTTTAAAGTGAATCATATTTAATCTCAATCTCAAAGAGGTGTCATGCTATAGTAGAAAGAACCCAGGTTCTTGAGTCAGAGGATCTGTGTTCGAATCCTATCTCTGATGTGTATCTTCTGTGTAACTTTGGCCAAGTTAATTAACCTTTTTGGACTGTCATTTCTTTATCTGTAAGACTGGGTGGGGAGGAGTGGTACTGGACTAGAGAGATGGCCTTTAAGATCCCTTCAACTCTTGATCTTCCTAGAGAAAGAGCACTAGGTTAAGCAGCTGGCACCATATTGCACAGAATGCCCATCCTGGCATCAAGAAGACATCTGTTCAAATCCAGCCTCAGACACTTACTACCTGTGTGACCCTGGGCAAGTCACTTCACATTCCAATGGCCTCATTTGTCTCATCTATAAAATGAGAACAATAATAGTATCTACCTTTCAGGATTATTGTGAAGATAAAATGAGATAATATTTTGTAAACACTTTGCAAACCTTAAAGTGCCATATATACATTCTAGTTATTATTATTGGTTTTTGTTGTTGTTATCATCACTGTTGTTGTTATGTTAAAAAGTCCTGGCTTTATATTATAGCTATATTATGTATTGCCTATGTGACCTTAAGCCAGTCACTTCTCAGTTTCCTCATCTGCAAAATGAGGGGATTCAATTAGATTAGTGGTGTCCAACTCAGATAGAAACAGGGACAACTAAGCCATGTATAATGATCCCTGCGGGACACGTATTAACTTGGCAAACTAGTAACAATAGTATATGTTTTACTGTATTTGTATTCATTCTGCATGTATTTCCCAGTTACATTTTAATCTAGTTCATGATGCACAGTGGCCCACATGTTTAGTATCTCTGGACTAGATGACCTTTTAGGAACCTTTTGGCACTAGGTCAATAACCTAAGATCTCTCATAGGGATGAGGATTTAGACTAGAGGATGAGATTTAAAGCTGGAATGAAATTGTCAAGTCTAATTGTCCCATTTTACAGGTGAGAAAACTGAGACCCTGAGAGGTTGATGTGGCTAGAAGCGGAAATAGCTGGTCCAAAATTACACAGATAATATTGGAGGCAGGATTAAAACCCGGTCCTCTGATCATTTATTCAGACTTCTCTTCAATGTACTGCAAGGAGTAGCTATCCCTCAGTGTCTCCTGTAAAGTTAGGGGTGTGGGGCCTGGGGCATGGAAGGGGGGAGGATTGGAGGGAGGAATGGGGAGATGGGTGAGGAATCTGATGGAGTTACAAGAGAGTAGAAATCAAAGCAGGGGGATGCAATCATGACCCCCATTGGTCGTACAGGTTTTGCTAATTCCAGAAGGAAGATTCATGGGACATTTTCATAAACCTTTAAGGGCCCCACAAGATGCTGCCTTTGCACACATTGCCTCTATTGGCTAAACCTTCCAAAGATGGAGAAGGTAACCATCTGGCAAATTTATGTTACTAGCTGACCAGGAATTATTTTGGTAACTTTAACTGCTAGGAGAAAGGGCTGAAGGCAATGCAGAACACCTGAGTGAAAAACAACAGTGAAATGCTATTTATTAAGCACTTGCTGTGTGCAGAGCACTGTCTTAGGCCCTGGAGAAGACACCGAACTTGGCTCAGACATGTAAGGAAGGTCATTTGCTTTCTTTTTTATTCTGGTTGTAACTTTGTCCCCTCACCTCCCTTCACAAGTGCTGACAAATCACACTTGTGTTTATCTGCAGTGCAGAAACTTGCAATACAGAGCCTTTTTGCTGAGCAAGCCATCTTTCCACTTATGCTCATGTTCATAGGCTAGGTTGCCCTACCAAGTCTCCATATCCTGACTTCTCCCAGGAGAGAGAGGGTGAATTAGAGGCTGATGTTAAAATGTTTATAATGCTAAGTACCACTGTTTGTATTTATGGACCAGCAGGGTTCAGTGGAAAAGAGGCCTGGGTTCAGAGGACCTGTTTGAATCCTAGCTCGTTCAGTACCTTGGGCTTAACTACTCAACTTTTCTGGCCTGATTCCTCATCCACAAAATGAGGGGGTTGGAATATAGGACCTACAGGGTCCCTTCTAATTTTAAATCCTATGATTCCCATTTGAAGATCTCTACCTGTGGTCCTATAAAGTCCATTTCAAAGAAGAAATACAGTATTATGGAAAGAGGGTTGGAGTTGGAATCAAAAGACCATAACTCTCCCCTTTAGTATCCATGGTACCTTGGGCAAGTCACTTCACTTATTTGAGCCTTAGTTTCCTCATCTATAAAATGCAGGGATTACTTGTACTACCTATTTCTCAGAACGGAGATAATCAAACAAAATCATGTGCATAAAATTCTTTGTAATCCTAGCATACCCTATAAAGAAGCTATTATTATCATGGACAATAACAAAGAAAAGTGTTAATAATAATAATTACAATTATAAGTAGAAACTGATGATGAAATATTATCACAAACAACCATTTCTAATTCCCATCCAGATTGTTTTCTGTAGAGACTCAGGTCCAAAATGGTTTAACACCACATTTAAAGCCAAATTTATGATTGCCTTAGTGTGGCTTGAGCTGTTTGTTTTCTTAAATTCAGCTGGGTGGCCCAGGTAAGAAATAGTGACAATAAATTTGTAATTTAATCATGCTGCTCCATCTAGCCAATTTATTTATCCATTTGCCTTCCTCTGAAGTCACCTTTTCAGGTTTCCTCACCTAGACTTTCCCCAGCAAAATGAGTGACCTAAACTTTCCAGAATAACTTCAGCTCCTTGATGGCAGGGACCAACTCTTGTTTTCTCCTTCTATCCCTGGTGCCCAGATGTGCAGGCACTAAATAAGATGCTTGTTGAATTAAATTGAATTCATTATCTCAGACCATCAGAAAGGTGTGTTGGTACTCACCTGCAAGCCCTACAAAGGGGGAGGCTGAGACTGCTGAACTGCTTGAGCTCAGGAGTTCTGAGCTGAAGTGGGCTAAGCTTATTATATGTCCAGCCCAGAGAAAAAGAAGAAAGAAAGAAGAGGGGAAGGGAGGGGAGGGAGAGAAGGAAGGAAGGAAGGAAGGAAGGAAGGAAGGAAGGAAGGAAGGAAGGAAGGAAGGAAGGAAGGAAAAGGAAGGAAGGAAGGAAGGAAGGAAGGGAGGGAGGGAGAGAGAGAGAGAGAGAGAGAGAGAGAAAGAAAAAGAAAGAAAGAGAGAGAAAGAAAGAGAGAGAGAAAGAAAGAAAGAGAAAGAGAAAGAGAAAGAAAGAGAAAGAGAGAAAGAGAAAGAAAGAAAGAAAAAGAAAGAGAAAGAAAGAAAGAAAGAAAGAAAGAAGAAAGAAAGAAAGAAAGAAAGAAAGAAAGAAAGAAAGAAAGAAAGAAAGAAAGAAAGAAAGAAAGAAAGAAAGAAAGAAAGAAAGAAGAAAAAGAAATTTTCAAGCTTCAGCTATGTACCAGATACTATGCTAGGCACTAAGGATACAAATACCAAAGACAGTATCTGCCTCCTGGAACTTAGATCCTAATACGCTTTTCCTCTTCTTTCTCACCCCTCCCCCTCCCATACCCATTATATTTCCACTTCCTAAAAACTCCTATTTCTGATTCTTTTCTCTATTCAATATTTTTTTATTTATCTCCAGTTTGGAGCATAATTCTTGATTCTTGTTGTCTACAGGAAGATGATCTGAATGGAATCCACATCGTGGCATTTGCAGAGAAGAGCGATCCTGGTAGGCCCTTTCTTTCTCTCTGACCCCCGTTGCATCACACCTTCTATAAGAGTTGACTTGGTTTAGTCCTGGAGCCCTCCTCCCAAGAGCTGCCTTCTCATCACAAAGCAGTAGGGGAACGGTAATGGCGGCAGGGGTTGAGGGCAGGGAAGAAGCAGTCTATCAATTCCAGGAGCCCAGATGAAGACTGCTCTTCCTAATGCTCCCTCCCTGTATCTGAAATAAATCCAGGAGATATTGGACACCCCTAGTGTTCATGCTGTTGGGACAGAGTCAACTTTCAATCATCTGTGCCAGCAAAGGGGAACATAACCAGGGCTAATCAAAATACATATGACGTACTCGACTGCCAAAATGTACAGGGACAGATGCTGAGAATCCAGTACAGATGATAAAACTTCAAAGCTTTCTTAGTGGGGGGGGGGGTGGAGAGAGGATACATCATTTTTGCTACACTAATTTTAACACACATAACAGCATAGGGAAGTGGGTAGAGGGCTAGCCTCTAAGCCAGGAGGACCTGGGTTCAAATGCTGCTTCTGTCACTTCCTGGCTGTGTGACCCTGGGCAAGTCACTTACCTTCTCTAGTGTTCTAGGCTGTAAATTCTCTGACGCTGTAACTTTCAGAGAAGGTGCTCCTTCTACATTGGTAGAGAGAGCTTCCTTATCCAGGAATTCCCCATGAATTGGCAATAAAATCATAAGTTCCCTATTCCCTATGACGTTAAAGAGAATTGTGTCATAGGAGATAAAAAGTCAGTGTCCAAATTAAGAAGGCCTGGATTCAAATCCTGCCTTTTACACACTAATGGTGTGACTTTGCTAGTTCTGGGGTCAGGTGACCTGGGTTCAAAGTCCATCTCTGAGACTTCCTATGTTTGTGTGTGCTAGAGGGGAAGGGGAATGGCAAGCATTTATTAAGCACCATTTTGTGCAAGACACTTTACAAACATCTCATTGGATCTTCACAACAACCTTGTGAGGTTATTATTGTTATTATTATTATTATTTCACAGTTGAGGAAAGTGAGGCAAAGACTTCTCCAGGGTCACACAGTAAGTGTCTGAGTCCAGATTTGAACTCAGTTCTTCCTGACTCCTGCTCTATCCACTGTACCACCTAGCCATTAGGCAAATCATTAAATCTCCCAGTGCCTCAGTTTCCTTGTCATTATAGTGAAAAGGTTGAACTAGATCGAGTTTGAGGTCCTAAATCTATGATCCAGGCTCTAAATCTGTGATCCAAGTATTTGTGGAAGTTATTTGGCTTCTGAGCAGCCTCTGCTACCTTTCTAAAACCAGAAGTTGAAAAGTGGGTTCTTCCCTGTATTGGTACAGGGAGTTTGCTCTACCAATGTAATCACAGGTCAGAAAAAGAAAAGGCATTAAGCCCTCCACTAAAAATCTATTCTGATGACTCAGCAGACACAAGGGTCACCCTCTCAGTGGCTCACTACCTCTGGCAGGTCCTTTCAAGCTGTCAGGGCTGGTTGATTGACTGTATGTTGGTCTGACAACCTGCCTAGCTAAGTCAAAGAGGTTCTCACAAAGGTGGCTACAGGAACATGGAGTCTTTGGGGCTTTGGCAAATCATAAAAAGCATCTAATAAGTCACAGAAGGATTGTAATCTTCACTGGTGAAAGAAGCATTCACAATGACAAAATCTTGGGTCTTTGAAAATGACATTAAAATGGTGGTCTGATTAAATCATTTGTATGGAGTAGCTTCTATTAAACATGGCAGTTTACTGGATGGGTATATCTGTTTAACGCCATAAAATATTTCCTCTGCTTAGGAAGTTGACCAGGGAGAAATCTAATCTAGCCCCTAAATTGGATGGGAAATAGGCAGTACAGCTTATCTCTAGACTGTCAGTTACTGCCAGGTGAGTGGCATTTTCATAGCCAACTACTGGTATGTTGATTTCACTTGTGTTAAGTGAAATAGCAATGGAAGGGGGGTTGGGGGGGAAGAGAGAGAGAGAGAGAGAGAGAGAGAGAGAGAGAGCAAGAGAGAGAGAGAGGCAGAGAGACACAGACAGAGAGAGGAGAAGGAGGAGGAGGAGGAGGAGGAAGAGAGGGAAAGGGCGAGGAGAAAACAAAGGGGAGATGGAGCAAGGAAGAGGGGAAGAGAAAGGGAAGGAAGGAGAGACAGAGAAGAGAGGGAGATTAGAAAGAATTATTTATAGGCCCTTCTTTCTGGCAAGACGTGCTAAGGTGACAGTATTGTTTAGTAGTGGAAAGAGTACTGGATTTGAGATCAGAAGACGTGAGTTCAAATCCTGCCTCTGGACCTTATTTTCTTCATCTGTATAATGTGGGGACTAGAGTAGGTTATCTCTCAGGTCCCTTCCAGTTCTAAATTCCATGGCCCTATGAAATATTTGTGTTGGATCTTATGAGGAAAATGTAAGTGAAAATGCTAGTGAAAAACTCCATCAGGGCAGAAACTTCTTTAATCTTCTGCATTTCCCACACACACTGAGCTCTTTATAAATGTTGTTGATTTCAGTTACAAATAAGTGTTAAAGTTAGGTTCAGGGGAGACTTGTTATAATTTAAGAAAAGAAGGAGGAAGGAACAATGTTATCTGAACCAGACAAGCTGGCAAGGAAAGACCTAAGTAAATTATCTCAGAGGAGCTTTGGTTGTCAAGAAATGCCCAACAGTTCCCAATCTTTTTCCACGTGCTGTGCACCGCTGAGTGCGCAGGGTTTTAGGCTCATAGAGTTAGAAATGAAAGGAAGCTAAGACACCATCTAGTACAAAGATGATTTCTTTTTTTGGGTGAGGCAATTGGGGTTAAGTGACTTACCCAGAGTCACACAGCTAGTGTTATGAGTCTGAGGCTGGATTTGAACTCAGGTCCTCCTGACTCCAAGGCCACTGCTCTATCGACTGCAAAGACAATTTTTAAAGATGAGAAAGTAAGGGTTTGTAGAGGTCAAGGGTCAGTCAGTCAATGCACATTCATTTAGCACCTACAGGGTGCCAGATAGTAAGCACTAGGGATTGAAAGAGGCAAAAAAGTCCCCTTCTCTCAAGGAGTTCACAGCCTAATGGCGGAGACAACATGTAAACACCTATGTACAAACAAGCCATCGACAAGGTAAATTGGAGGTAAGACTAACTTTGGGAAGGCACTCACATTAAAAGGGACCGGGCAAAGTTTCTTGCAGAAGGTGACATTTTAGCTGGGACTTGAAGGAAGTCAGGGAAGCCAGAAGGTGGAGATGAGGAGGGAGGGCATTCCAGGCATGGGGACAAAATGCTTGGAGATGTCTCATGTGAGGAACAGCAGTGTCTGTGTCTTGGACTGCAGAGTACTTTTGAAGGAAAAATGAAATGTCAGAAGACTGGGAAGGTAGGAAGGGGCCAGGCTGTGAAAGGCTTTAAAAGCCAAACAGAATTTTATATTTGGTCCTGGAGGTAATAGGGAGCCACTGGATTTTCTTGACTAAGGAGGTGACATGGTCAGAGGGCAGCTTCAGGAGAAAGACTTTGGAAGCTGAGTAAAGGATGAACTGAACAAACCTAATTACTCTAAAATTCCCGGGTAGGTATTCTGTGCACAGTTCTAGACCAAGAGAGAAAAATAGCATAGGAAGCCAGCTGCCTAAGGTTTACAAGCTATATCCAAAGAGAACGAGGCTCCTAGTGCTGTGTGAACAGGGATGAAATCATAATTCACAGCAGCCACCTGGCCAGTCTTCAGCAGGCTCCTACTTCCTCCTCTGCATGCCGCGCCCCCTCCACCCCCACACCATCCCCCCTCCCAGGTTTGTGACGGAGCCTGCCCTCCTCTCAAAGAACAATGGAACAAAGAGGCCTCCCAGAAAGTTGCACTAACCTGTTTGACCGAGATTGGAGCTATAATGAATCAAGCTCCTGAAAAGTGCCTTTTACCTCCTCCCTACACAAATATCCCTGGGCCCAGATCCTGCCTGCTCCCAAGGGGGCCCAGGGCAGGGCCGGGGCAGGCCAGCCTTAGAATGGGGGCAGCTGCCAAGACTGGCTGCCGCTCCCTTCATTGGGAGAAGTGACTCTCATCTAGAAATAGAATGGATTTTCTGGGCGAGACCCTGGCTATAAGACTGGTCAATGACTGACATCAACTTTAGGTGATTTCTCTCCTTTGGAGGGAGGTGGGTGGCAGACAGACCACTTTCTTTCAATGCATCCTCCCCCTCCCCTGTGTGTCCTGTTGGTCTGGAAGAAATGCTAAGTGCTGCTGCTTTTAGATCTGATCCCCCACCCCCACGCAGCCCCCTTCACACACACACACACACACACACACACACACACACACACACACACACACACACACACACACACACATATATACACACACACAAAGAGGCATGTGTGAGCTCTCCTGAAACAGAAAGACCGCGGTCAGACGTGGGGCCTCGGAGTGCCTGGGAAGGAGGGCTAACACAATGCCATCACAGAATTTTCGAGTTGGAAGCAATCTGGGAGGTCATTTAGTCTAACCCTCTCTTTTGACAGACAAGGTTCAGAAAAGCCAAATGCCTTAAGGTCACTTAGCTACTTAGTTGGTGGCAGAACTAGAACCCAGGACTCCGGACACCCAGTTCAGTGGTCAATTTCACAGCCTTCCCAGTGTGATCCCATGCAAGCAGCAAACACTGTCTAAGTACACCCAGGCAGAGGAGAGGCAATGCCAGGGAGAGAGAAGGGAGAATGGGGTGGACAAAGGGACCGAAGGAGCAAGAAGACAGCTTTCCGGGAGGGCGGAGCATGGACACTTCTGGCCAATCGCAATTCAGAAAGATGATTGAACTCCCTCTCTTCTATCTCCTCACTGGGACCCTTCTCAGGATTTGGATTTTCTGCTTAGATCAGAAGGACTTCAAGCCTTGCAGCTCACAGTGGTTTGTCGTAAAAGTCCTTGATTTTAAAACTGAAAGGGCTTATAGTGCCCTTCATATAGCACATGCCTTCATTTCACAGATTAGGAAACTGAGTCCCAAAGTCAC